ACGAGTGGGTCAATAAGTTGAACATTGTGCCCTGTTCCTCCAATTAAAATCCTATGAGAAATAGCCCAATTATAATTAGAGAAACAATTATCCCCTTGTTAGAGGTGATACAAATCACAGGTTTTAGTGAAAAATTCAGTTTTGCTCCTTCTGCCGTGCCAACAAATCTTGTATCCATTGATGTTTTGATCCCAGTACTCTCCAAAAGACAGAATCTCATGAAATAAAGTATCTCTGAGTATATTTCTGCCTCATCATGTGACAGCAACATTTTCTAGGTATAAACTAAGATGATCAAAGAGGGATTCATTTCACAGAGTGCTGCTATTATGCCACTGGAGCAACCCTGCACCCATTCATGACTGCATTAGTTTTCTGGCTTGTTTAGGGAGATGGAGAGGCTTGTCTATTGAAATGCAAGAAAAACATTATAGTTTTGGCTTGGTCTTAGCAAAAAACAAAATAGTGGGCAATACCATTTTAGAGTGTTTCTGGCAGTTGGTTTTCTTTCTCTCATTTAGTCTACTCTTAATTTTAATATGAGTATTACTAACCTGCCCTATATTCCTTGAACTAAAGTAACTCCCAAGGAGCTCCCTCCCTCCCCCCCCCCCCCCCCCGCCGTTCTTTTTCTCCTGATCCTAGTAGATTGGAAATTTGCTCTCAGGCTTCAGACTGATGGATCACCTCACCTTACACTGAGTTCTGTCAATCGGGTTGTATCTTCAGGGGTAACAAACACACCCATTTGGAATCAAAGTTCTATCTCCATTTCCTAAACTGTAGCCATAGTCAACAGGGACTCTTTCCTTGTTTAATTGAATACAGTCAGAGAATCTACTAAGTAGAATCAGTCTGCTGGTATTAGAGATAAAACACGAGGAACCCCCTTTTTGGTCCTTATTTCTTTACAGTTTAGGCAGGCACAGAAGTCAACAGATATGTTTCAACAAAGGTAGTGGCTATGGCTATATAAAATCCTTGTATATAGGGGCCAGCCCTATTGGGTCCTCCATAGCAGGTGTTAAATTCTGAACTAATTCTGTATGTGCTGCGAAGTAACTGAACGCTTCCCCTCTCCTTCCCAATACTGGAGGGCTCCCTGGGCCACCCTCTGATTCAGCAGCTAAAGGCTTTATACCTGGAATAGCACAAGGCCTTCGGACTCTGTCCCTGTGCTAAGGAATTTGTGTAGTTGTCAAATATCTTAAATAAATAAAGTTGATAGAAAGAAAGGGCTTGGCAAGAAGATCAGAGAGGGGGAACATCAAGCCTAGAATGCTGAAACCCATGTGCTTTATCCTGGAGTGCCCACAGCACAGTTTTTTTCCCCCTCCCCAATAAATATGAAGGTTAGTTCTTAGTCAAAAGAGTCACCACCTGTAGTGATGGGAATACAAGAAATCTGGATGGGTCTCTCCCTCCTCTGAAATTTTGTCACTCTCTTTCCTTTGGCCCTGAAAAGGAGAACTACCAACAGTAGCCTCAGCCCAAATTTCCTCTTTGAAATAAAATATGTGGGCTCTTGGGACTGTGATGACGAAGTGGACAATAGTAACTTTAAAAATCAGAAAAAGGACAGCAGCATGTCAGGACTTGTAGCAATTTACATGAATAAGGCATCTGTAAAATGGATATTTACATATGGGGCACCTGGGTGGCTCAGTTGGTTGAGCAACCAAAACTCTTGGTTTTAGGTCAGGTCATGAACTCAGGGTCCTGGGATTGAGCCCCACATGGGTCTCCACGCTCAGTGGGGAGTCTGCTTGAGAGTCTTTCTCTCTCTCTGCCACCCCCAACTCTCAAATAAATAAATAATTTTTTTCTTAAAAAGTAGATATTTATATAAACGAGGGCCTCTCCTGATTTAAAGCTTATAATGCTATCTTCATTGTAGCTTTTATGGACTCTAACCAAGCCCTGGCTAGAGAATATGGGAGGGCATGTTGGTGGTGGTTCTTCACAGGACAGAAGTTTCCTCTCTGCATGCCCACACAGCACCAGCACAGGTACAACGGGCTCAGGGACTATTCAGAATTCAAGAGATTGAATTCAGTCTTCTGTGAATCAATGGGTGATAATACAATAATAATACAAAGAGTGGCTGATGTTTCTTGAGCTTTCTATATGTTCTAAGTGATTCACATGTACCATCTCATTTAAATTCCCAAAGTACACTCTGGATAGATACTATTATTATTATTATTATCTCTATTTTATAATTCAGAAAACATATGGACAGAGGACTGAAATACTCTTGCCCAAAGTCAAAAAGTTAAAAATGGTGATGCTTGTGTTCACACCTAGAGTTCTATAAGGAAATTAGCTTAACATTCTATGGTGGTGACTAAAGGCAAAACAGGGGATGATGTTAAATGTTACTTATGACCTCAGAAATGCCTCTGCCACTATTTGTATCAAAGGTGATACCACTATAATTGAAGATTAGTGGAGTTCTTTAGAAATTTATTGACTTGTATGGGAAGGAAGAAAATAATTACCGCCTCATGTTCTGCAAATAATGTACCTGACTACTTCTTCAATGGAGCTAGACACATACTTACAAAATAAAGATCAACCGGGTTGATCAGTCATGTATTCATTGGAAATTTACCATTAGAGATTTTCAGAATCATTTGCCTTCGATGCAAAAGAAGCACGAATTCTTGCCAGTATGGCCGATACCTTAAGGGCTGATTTTATTTATGGGAAAGCTCAAGAGTTGATTTGTAAGCTTAATATTTCATTCTATGCAATTTTTATGCTCTAGAGTCTTCAAAAAATTTAAATATTAAGTAATGAATGCATTCATCATAAAATTAAAATAATCTTACAATCTTTTAATTTACCAAGTTAACATTTCATTCCTTTCTTTTTTCTTGATCTTACCCCTCTTAAGCAACTGACCAGGTAATGTGTCCATTAAGGTATTTATTAGCTTTCTGATCTTAGTGATTCTAAGGGTGTTGGATAGAATCTACCTAGGAGTTTATTAGCCTGCTCTTGAGCTCGGTTGTTTGATGTCTCTTCTGACTTCAAAAAAAAAAAAAAGCCACATTAAATATAGTTCTTTGAATGTCAAATGGGTACATGATTTTGAGCTTGCCAAGTGTTAATTGGTCTCTTCCCCACTGATGATACAAATAAAATTCACAGCCAATTAGTTTTCAGTCATGAATCTTTACTCCTTGACAAAGTGAACCACTTTCTTGGAGAGGCTAAAAAAATGAAAAAATTACTGGGATCTTGTCATTGAAAGTCTTTGCAGGGATCAGCAGTCCGTAAAAAATGTTGGGTAAAAACGAGGTTATGGATACCCACCTTACTCAGAATATATTTTGGTCTTTAAAGCAGTTTAATGAAGGTTTGCTTTAGAATTTTAAAAAATACAATTAGGGAGACAGGTGCAATATTTTAATAAGTGAAATGAAATACTGAATAGAAAAGAGTTGCCTCTTTCATCACACTGAATCATATTATATATAAGTGTTAGAAGATAAAGTCTTGATGTGGTTGGATAAAACAGCTATGATCATGCAAAGTTTCTGATGCACTGCTAGAAAGTACCATGGGATGCCACTTAGCAGGCAAAAAACAGTTCTCCTCTTTTAGAGTAAAACAAAAAGTTTCATGAAGAGCGCTACTTTGAGTCTTTGCATTGGCAATGGAGAGATATAAATGCCTGTGAGAGAAAAAAAAACGCAGTTGTTTTCCAAGTGCCTTGCCTAAATTTCTAGTTCATATTATTAATAATAATTTGGAAAGAGCAATTAATCTTCTTGTTGTGAGACCAGACTCCCACCATTGCTTCAACCTTCAAAAGACTGAAAAACTATAAGAAATCTGATAGTAAGTGTACAACTATGAAAAATTTTTTGAACAATGATGTGTCAATAATATTTGTTTGGAATTTCATAGATAGGAAGGATTCAGGACTTATTTAAAAAAAAAAAAAAGCGGGCCCACATGCACGCCCAAATTGCAGCAACTGAAAAATGCCTCTTTCCATACATTCAATAAAGAGTAAAAATTCCAAAGGACTAAATATAGTTTTTAGGTTAACAAGGACCAACAAGTTGGCAGTAATACATGTCACTTGTCAAACTGAAGTGTTTCTGGGCCCACAAAATACCAGATTAGCTAGGACAATAGTTTTTGATGCCTATGAGGATGTCTCTTAATAGTCATAAAAGGTAACATTTTTGAGATTTTAGAGTTATTAACAAATGAAAGACATGGTATTAGATGATTTTCCTCAGCAAATATGCTTTATGATGGGGAATGGCTCAAGGAGGGCATGGTACTGTCTTATGGTCATCTAGGCCAATCCCCCATAGACAGACATTTTCAAGGGACACTGTATGGTTTGGTGCTAATGAAAAACATGGTATGTATCTGATTTGTCATGCTTCATTAACAATCAATAGCTTTGTTTTAGCAAAAACAAAAAATGAAAATGAAGAGCTTTATGGGAAGCTCATGGTAAGAAACGCTTGTTATTTCTCAAGCATGTTTTTATTCACGGTGTGTAGATATGGCCTTTAGATTACATCATGGAAAAAGAAATGTATATGTGGGAGGCACAGGCTCACAGACACACACACACACACACACACACACACACACACACACACACACCCTTTTTACATTTTTTGCATATCATCAAGGACAATAATAAAATTGATAGTACATCATTATCTTATCACTTTGCTATATGATAAATGCCAGATAAAATAAAGCAATGTTTCTGATTTCTTGAAAGAGAATGACAAAATTAAACCAAGCTGCCTGTGGCTTTGTCCAGTGGGGCATTCTAATTGACTCCCAAATCATTAATCAGTTCCCAATCAATCTATTTTGCCAGCAGCAGGGAGTTAGGACTCCATTACCAACCATTCATCATGCCATACCCTAATTCACTGCACCATTAGCCATGGATTAGGCCTCTGTTAGAATAACTAAGTGCCAATAGCTAAATGCAAAGAATTTTTGTTACTCACCTCAGCCACTGGGATCCCTTCAGGTGGTCGACACTGGAGCAACACCTCCTGTTCCAAGGATACTTCCTTTCCCAGGGGTTCCTGCTCAAATGTCTTCCGTAGATCTGGAAAGCACAGGTAATAAAATACATTACAAAACTAATAATTAACATTTAGTCATTTATGGAAAATGCTGTAAAAATATCCCAGCTTAGTATTTTATGTATCTTTTTATTTTTTTAATCACACATTGTTAGTATTGTACCATAATCTGGGTTATTATAGCATGTGTGGTGGAAAACATGAAATTCAGAGGTTATTAACTACTTCTGCTAGAGTGGGTAAAAGAATGCTCGAATCCTGAAAGAATGTATGTAACTTCTTCTGGTGTCTCAAACAGGAAGCAAGAAAAAGGGGAACTATGGGTATGAGTCTAAAAATATCTCAGTATGTAATTATGTAGCCATTCTTTAATTAGAAGATCAAATGGTCATTTTTGCCCAAATATACCAACTGCCTAACTACATATTTATATTTATATTTATATTTATATGGTTATAGTTATAGTTGCTAAGATAGTTACAGGCAGTAGACTATAAGGTGGCCACAAACATATCATAAATCAGTTTGTAATTTTAAACACCAAAGTTAAAACATAAATGATTTAGCCATAGAGCTTTGAAACAACATTAATTTTTTAAAAAATACCAAATATTTTATTTCATACATGTATAGTTTCAGCTCCTACCAATGAAAAATTATTGAAATTTTACCCAGTTGGTTTTGATTATAAATTAATGCTTCTATCCTTTCATTCCATGGCCCTGATAAAGGCTTAAGAATCTAAAAGTACCATTTTAGCTTATTGAACTATGGGTGGAAACCCAAGACTCTGGAGGTCATATCCCTAATGTGTTTCAAGGAGCTATCAAAAAGCACCATCTGGAAGAATGGACAGAGAGAAAAATCTATTGTTACATACTTGTCATTTATTGAATTTCTTGGCATAAGAAAACTTTCAAGAGCTTATGGGTTGTGAGAAAATTATGGATCTGTGTGATCTGAAGTAAGACAAGAGGCTCTAAATGGTGATGGAATTTCTGGTGGAATGCTACTTCTAATTTGATTATTGAGAAATTGAGTATATTGCAGAAATAAACACTTAAAATCCACAGAATTATCAGAACTTATAAGTTATCAAAACCATGTGCTTATTTTATACATAAGAAACATATCTATCAAATTACTCAAAGCCTTACAGCAAAATAATCAATGCTACATTAGGGTATTAAAGAGGGCACGAATGGCATGGAGCACTGGGTGTTATATGTAAACAATGAATCTTGGAACACTACATCAAAAACTGTATGGTAATTAAAATAACATAATAAAAAATAATAATAAAAGAAAGAATAATCCATAATAAAAATAAAAACCTGTTAGGTTTATTTTTATTATGGATTATTCCAACAAAATAAAAACCAAAATAACCATAGTGATAAATGAAGGATGGTACCCACCAATCAAAAGCATAAAATTCACACGTCACCATCTTCATTCTAAGTAGATTCTTAAAAATATATATTTTTAAGCTTTATTTATTTAAGTAATCTCTATACCCCAGGTAGGGCTCGAACTCAAGACCCTGAGATCAAGAGTTCCAAGCTCCACCTACTGAGCCAGTCAGGGATCCCTCATTCTAAGTGTTTTTGTTGCAATAAGTAATATAGGTATACACATCAAAAACAACAACAAAAAGAACACACTGAGCCCCAATTTGTACATATTTTGCTATTGCGCACATCCCTTTCACACATCTTTTAGTAAATCTGTGTCCTTCCAACACAAACGATAAAAACAAAGTGAGGGTTTTGGAGGGGAAGGGGTTGGGGGGTGTGGGTTGGGTGAGCCTAATGGTGGGTATTAAGGAGGGCACGTATTGCATGAAGCACTGGGTGTAGCGCATAAACAATGAATTTTGGATCACTGAAAAAAATACAATTAAATAAAATTTAAAAAAAAACAAGCTTTTCTACTCCGTCTGTTTTTACATAGTAGCTTCTCTTTGGGCCCACTTTGGCAGCACATATACTATCATAACTCCTCTTTGTTTTGGATCTGCATTAAGATAAAATTTCAGCAAAATGCCAAATACTAATTAAAAGAATAGCGACAATGAAAACTTTTATGGGATAAAATGTTCTTGACAACATATACCTCGTTTATAAAAAAAAAAATCATTCTGAAAAACTCCCATCTGATGTAGGGTAGGGTAGGGCAAAGAAATAATTACTTGAATTAGTTCTCAAATTAAAGAACCTACCAACTCACTCTTGGTTAAATTAATCAGCATATCACAAAACGTAGGGCTAAGAGTAGGAGTGAGGCACATATGTCTCCAAATAGTTAAAACAAATTCTTTTAATATTTGTTAATCACATGCTTTGGTTGACACTTGATTAGGTACTTAACATGATGGTGTGTAAGATAAAGACACAAGACTAGAAAGGTAATCGCAGGTCTACCGGTCAAGGCCCTTCTGCCATGCTCAAGACTAACAAACCCTCAAAAGCTTTTAACCAAAGGAAGGCGATCGGACGTCACATTGCTTGTATTGTGATAGATGGATTGAGGTGGTGGTAAAGAGACAGACAGTAGTTAGGGACCCATCTGAGTAGACCAGGAGGGATGATGGGGTCCTGAACTCAGCTACTGATAGTGAGGGGGAGGAAGCAATAGGAGAAAGAGGAAGTGACAGAATCTGGGAATAAAAAGATCATACATTCAGGAAGACCCAGGTATTCCGAAAGTGCCGGGAGGCAAGAATAAAAGTCTATTCTTAGTAATTCTATTGCAGTTGTCAAGATGGTACCATCACTAGGTGAAATAGTACCAAATTAGGCAGGAAAGTGAAGGCAAAGATAGCAATGGATTTTGGTAGAGGTTCAGTTTAGTGTGTCTGTAGGATATTCAGATGGAAAGTGCAACAAATTCAGGTCATGATTTCTCAGCTGCAGTGCTACTGATGTTTGGGACTGGAGAACCCTCTGTTGTGAGGTTGTCCCGTCCATAGCCAGATACTTAGCAGGGTAGTTGGACTCCACCCACTAAAAGCCGGAAGCACCCCTCCCAGCCAGCACGAAATAAATGCCTCCAGATGACACCTAATGTCCCCTGTGAGCAAAATCCACCCCAAGTTGAGAACCACTGGCCTAGAACTTAGAAAAAAACATCCTCATAGGAGATTTGTGCTTCATTGTCTAGGAGATGGCTGAAGCATGGGAATTGGATTAGATTACATCACCAGGGGAAAGATTGTATTCAACAAGCAGGACACAAGGTTCTAGAGAAAAGGCTGCCAGCAAAGTGACATGGCCTGAACCAAGAGGCAAGAGAGGAACCAAACAGACATGTGTCGGAGGAGCTAAGAGGAGAAAAAAGCTTTAAGAAGTTGGGAGGCAGGACAAACGCAGGGAAAGGCTCAGAGGGGCAAAGAACATACTGGTTTGGGAAATTTAGGCCCGAAGCGTGAGTGGAAGCCAAGCTGTGTTGAGCGGTGCACAGGAATTGGGAATATGACTATCATGAGAACCTACTGCTTTTTTGCCAAATTTTATGGTAACAGGAGTCAGTAGCACCATGAAGGGGCAATGGGTCTGAATGCAGCATGCTCTAATTCTTAGGATATAGTGCAGTTTTTGGCATGGATTTCAAATTCCTGCCATATGAAGGCACATCTTAGGAGAACCCTTGTTTCCTAACTGAGAATGGTGACCACACCTCAGAGGCACATGCTTCGAGGGGCCGGATTAACTGAACCATCATTGAATGCCCGATAATTATTTCATTTTAACGGCTTGGCCTTAAACTCCATATAAATTTTATGTAATTTCTAAAATGATCTCACATTGAGCCCCCCACGAGGCAATACTTCTTCCTGAAAAATCCTTTTAATTTCTGCCATAAAACCTCTTTTCTAGCTTTCAGGTTGTGTAATGAGCATAGGATATATTGTGGCTGTCCAGCAAGGCAGCTCCTCGTTTCAGTCTCCACATTACTCTGAGAGAAGAGGGTGGGTAACATTTTAAGCATATCCTTTATCATTTGCAGAGATGTGATAGAAGGCAGGCTGGATGCCTTGCAGGCACAGAGAACACAAGGGTGACGAATGAATAAGCATGAAAAACGGACACTTGTCAGCTAGGAATTAGATGTAAAACAGAATGGTTCAGAATAATGTGGGTATTCCTGTCAGGAAAAGAGATGAATTTCTGCCCTTGGAAGACCTTTAAGAGTCTACATTTCTGTTTTCTTTCCATTCGTTCTAAGGCTGATACTAAAATAAGTCTAAAGTCCTTTCATTATAACCGAGATTACTTTTGCAAAGTCAACTTGGCCTACCTCTGATTTAGTTGTTGATTCCAGCAATCGAAAGAAAAATCAGCTTTGTCATATGCATGCGTTCTGAGAGATGTTTACTTAAGAACATGAATATTGGCTTACTAAATCCATACGGCAAAATCCAATTAGCAGATGTAGAAACAGACTTGAAACTCTATGGATTTCTATTTACCATTTACACAGTAATCAAAGAGAGCCTTTCAGGGCACCTACAAGCATGGGCACACATCACAACATCACATTTTTTTATTGTAAAGTTTTGATGTTTTCAATGAATTTTTTTTTTCACAATAATGACACTGTGGTCACAAATTATTTATGATGGGAAATATACCAATTCATGGCATTCTATAAACTTCACTTTTTGATGGCATGGTAAACAGAAAAGAATGCTAACTGGGAGTCTGACGACTGTGCCCTTTACCTTCCTCATTTGTAAAATGAAAATAAATGTCTGGATGCTTTTAAAGGTCTCTTTTGCTACATATAAGGGCCAATGACTAAATAGACTAACATTTTAAATGTATGTTTGAGGGGAAAAGACGTTTTCCTGTGTTGAATAAAATACTTCTTGGTCGTGATGGATCTGTAAGGACCTATACCAATTGCATCAGTGTCCACGAGAAATAATAGAAGAAATCACTTTTAAATAATAGAGGAGATGATGTATCGTTGAAGAGAATAACTTACAATTTTCCCCTCAGGACAATTTTCGTGGCATTTT